TTTTCATTTAATCAATTGAAGGCATTAATATTTTTAATTTCTGGATTTTCGTTTTGATGGTACAAGTCTTCTTGTTTGTCTTGCAAACAAATAATAATAAATTTGAATTGAAAATTGAAAACTCACTCTTGCTCCCTGAACACATTTCGAATTCTATATACATTAATGCATATGAAGACTCTTGTATCTATTATCTGCTAAAGAAGGCAAAAACATTTTAGGGACATGAGTGTTCTTCGCTTTTTGATTTGACCGTTAGCAGATAACAAATAGAAGCATATACATGGTGTTTATGTACAAACAATCTCTTTGAGTTACTTTTAACATGTAAATATGTACTTTTGCGAGTAATATGTATATTTTAAAAAATTTTATTACTAGCATAATTTAATATTAGCGTAATTACGGTATACATGTAGACAAATACTATATATAGACACCACATTGTAGGCAAAATAAAATATTTCTTTATGCAAAGCCGTTTTCTCGTATCAAAATTTACATATTATATTAACAATATGTAGATCACTCATGTCCAAAAAATTTCGATATAATTAATATATACAATGTTTTTATTATTTGGTATAAATTATTTTATTTTTTACCACCATTACTGGAACAGTACTAGTGCGGTTCAGGACTGCATATTCAATGAATAAGTATGTTTCGTTTTAATGCGTGTCAGTGAACTATTCAAGCTATTATATACATATTTTCTGAAGTTATGTAGCGATTTTAATTGGTGATTAAATATCAACCAAGTAATTCAAAGTCCTCATCAGAAGTATCACACTGGGGATCTAAATGTTCAAAATCTACAACTATAAGAAGTTATATTAAAGCAAACTATCTCATATCTAATTTGTTCTTGTAAAATTATACGAATTCTCGTATACAGGATAAGTTATTTATCTGTGCTTACTAAATGCATTTGTAAATTATTTTTTTTATGTATGAAAATAACTTTTAATTTTTTTATTGTAATATGTAAGATCTGACTTTATAATTCAAAAAGGGTATTGAAAACTAAGTAAAAAGCTATGAAGATATATAGGATGAAAAATTAATAATTTCTAAAATTTAGGTTGTACAGTTAAATGGCTTATCCTATACATATATCATTAAATTTGTAACATAAACAGTACTTACAACTCGTAGCTGCTATTGCTTCCGAAGCAGCGTCGTCAATTGAGGACCACTGTGTTAATCTTTCTGTGCACAATTCTAACAGTGGTTGTTTTTCAGGAGTAATTAAATCTTCCTGAATTGATTTGCACATGGATCTAAAGTCATTTTCAGTCGCACAAAAGAAGCACTGAAAAGATAAAGAACATGTTCATTCATACAACTAACTACTAATAGGTTTATCAATATACCCACCAATGCTACAGAAGGATCTATACCCGTAATGGGAATACGACAAGCAGATTTGCAGTGATAGGTAGCATCCATTTCAATTTCTTCCTCCTCCAATTTTTTATTAACGCTACCTGATCTTTGTGTTGTGTGTGGATCTAAATAAATTACTTCATTTCCTGTAAATACAGATGCTGTTGTTTACTTTTTGTTACATAAAATTTGTACAAATCATTGGGAACATATTCGTACCAACACATCCTATGAAGTATAGTGCAAGATTGGGTTTTCCTCCTATTACTCCTAGAGATTGTGGGATTTTGAATGAAGTCTGAAAAATTATAGGCATGTATATATTATCCTTAACTTCATTCATGTTTTCAGTCCATCTTTAGCCATTCATGCAAGAACACTTATTTCTTTATTACTTTAAGCCCGTTAATGTAGATGGGATTAATCTCGCTTAATCCAAGGCGAAGAGGTATTAAAAGTAATAAAGGCTTCCATTGGCTAGGTGCTTTTAATGGTATGTTACCATCTGCTTCCGCTGTAGTACCTCCTTCTACTTTACATTGCCTCACTGTGAACATTAAACTAAATTTTACACCTTCAATTTTAAAAATATATAGACTATAACAAACTGTTGAATTCATACTTACAAATGTCGTTAATTATTAATGTATTGTCTAGAGCCACATGTATTGTAATTGAGCTCCAATCATCATACACTACTAATTTTCTGAAAATTATAATTTAATAATACAGCATATTATTCGTAATATGGCAATACATTTGTATAATGCAATAAATATGTACTTCAATACTTGTGCTACTGTATTAGGACCAAACCATTGTCCAACATCTTTCCCTTCTGAAGCTCCTGTCACAGCAATTTGGTGAATTGAGTATGCTGCAGTCTTTTTGTCTGTAAAACGCTCCAAAATTTTCAAGTATGTGCTATTCTTAGTTTCTGGTGTCCATTGCCAATCTCTACCTATCACAATATGTGTATGATATAAGGTTCAAATTTTTACATAGCACTAAATGCATTCGAATACAAGATACCATAATTAAATTAAATGCAAATTACCTAAGTGTAAAGTAATTAAAGCTTGTCCAAGTACCATTTGTCCGCATCTTAGCATGCAACCCCATCCTTTATCGGATGTAAATGTAGTACTGGATTCACCAATTGGTACAAAATTTTTGCGATATGTAAACCATAATTTAGATCTTATATCCCTACGAATTGCCTCGAGTTCTGAAATTGAAGATCTTATACATATAAGCTGGTAAAAAATTTCTTTTTATCATCACTGTCTATTAAACCTTTTATAGCATTGTATTTTTTTCCGAGAACCCAAACTGGCTCATCTGTTTGTGGTATGTCCACTGGTTCATCCATGATGTTTTGTGTAAAAAGGCTGTCCATTTTTACAATTACTATAAATGCTAGTTATACTAATCGGTAATTTTCAATGTATCATATGGTTTAAATATTATGTTTTTTTTATAAATATGTGGAAAAAAACAAAATTGGTGCTGCCTTCTTCGACGAAAAAATAAATGATCGAAACAAGGTTAAGCGTTTATCAAAGGAGAATGATATTCCATGTATGTATACAACATACAACACAACCACCTTCAGCTGAGCTAAGCAGCATAGGTTATTGTTCGTTCAATAAAGATATCATTGTTTTCACAAATGACATTCGTAATGTATCCGTGTCCACTTTACGAAAACATCAACAATATTATGCTAACAACACTGCAGCTGATTTTTAAGGTAAGATGATAAGACGATAATTATTTTTATTCTTAGGAAGTGCAGTACCAAACAATAAACCATCCAAAATTAATGTAACTAATCGTTATAGTTAAATGTAATTAAAAATATTCTAATAGTGACTTATGAAATATTAAGTCAAACACGTATTCAATATCGCGTGTTTGTCATTTTTATGTATGTATGTACATATCATAGAAGGTGCGTTTAGATTACTTACTCTTCACACTAGATGGCGCGACCATTTTCACATGAAAAGCATACAATAACAATTGTCCACGTGCATCTTTAAGTACATATGAATTTCGAAATTCTCTAGGGGCGATTTGAATAATGCATTTATTTAAATTGTTATATCGTTTTATAGTGCAGTAACACATCACATAACTAACTAATATTATTATGAGATTTTTAAATAGAACCTTTATACATACCTATCCGTCTTATATGTAAGCATCGATGAAAAAGAAACTTGCGAGTAAAACAAAACAAGTACATACTACAGGACCGCAGTACCATAGTACATCATAGATAGATCTCCTGACCTCGGTAGCTGCTTAAAATAGCTGAAATGAAATATAATAGAAAGCGATATTTGAAAAATATAGACAATTTTGTAAACTGTATTTTATTTGAAGAATTGAGTATCTTCATACACGTATTTGTAATACGTGTGACAACTCTAACGTAGAAATGTAGTTACGGGATAAACACAAAAAATTAATTTACGGTGGGAATCATCAGATAGCAAAATGACTACGCCTAGTGTACTTAACGGCGCTGATTTCGTTGATTCTTTTCTAGACTGCGTTACAGAATTCAATAGTTTGATTATTTGATTATTTCACGGGAGCGAAAAATTTGAAAAATCTTTGAAAACTTATTTAAGGGAAACCGATTTTGGTAGCGGGTAGCGTTGTATGTAGATATAATCATGCATATGTGTGTGTGACAGAGCTAGGCATTGTTCGAATTAAATTTTATTCGAAGAATTTATTCGGAATACTACTCCGATAAAATTTTATTTGAAGAATTTATTTGAAATGTTATTCAAATAATGCCCAACTTTGGTGTAGCGTTAGATTATCATGTATATGTGTGTGTTATGGGCATAAAGAATCGCGAAATATATTATACATTTCATTTTGTAATTAACTTTAATATTTCTTTAACACTTCTTTAAGCCTACACGATCATTAAGAGCAAGTAGTCATGATACGAAATTCAATAATGGAAAATGAGGCAAATAAAGTAATTGAACGAAGGCAAAGACTGAAATGATTTTTATTAGCTAAATTAATCGACCTTGCTGCTGACCCTCACGGAAACTGAGACTGATCATCTTGTTGAAAACGTTAAATAAATCAAATGATAAGTAACTCTAATCTTTAATAGATTGTAGCCGGCAATCAAATCCGTAGTAATCAGCAATTAATATAGCAGTAGAAGAAGAAACGAACCGGATTAAATAATAGCTGAAAATAGAAGATATTCGTGAAGAAATACAATGAAAGTTTATCTATATAAATAATATTCAATAAAAGTTGTATTATAAAATATTATACTGAAATAAAATATTTATATTCATGTCCGTGAAAACCATTCCTTAAATACGGGGCGTTCCATAATTCGTGGTATAAATTATGTCAGGTAGTTTCGATGACTGGAAGACGAAAATCAAGAATAACGAAATTGCGTAGGAGGCTTCGTTTTCGAGGAAATCAAATTTTAAACATCAGTCGAATGGATGCATTTTGTACAATATTTTGGTTAAAAATAATAAACTAAACTCAACGAAAAATACGCTGATTATTTTAGTATCCTGTGTGTTTAACGTATCCTTCAATCGTATCCCGATAGTAAACAAGCCCTGACATTATATCATATGTGCAAACAATTGTATTAGCGGTCTATAATGATCGATTATTAATTAAGTACAGGTATACTCGACTGATATTTGTATGCAATTTTCTCGAAAACGGAGCCTCCACGCAATTTTATTATTCTTGATTTGTACCATGAATTATATTTACCATAGTTATTTGTATTATGAGCATTCTTTGTTAATAACGTTTTCTACCAGCACGTAGATGTAACAATTGAACTCAGTTTTAATCATAAGACACCGATGGTTGCTTATGGTAACAACTATCACGACCCGCTAATTCTCTGTTAACAAGTAACAGACGTTATAAATTAAAATTAGAACACTAATTGCTTTGTAGGTTTATCCAATGTTTGGGAAAGGTTTTAGATACGTAAAAACGAAGGATGGTATTAACATAATGATTACTACCGTCAAATGATATCTTTCAAATAGAGCTGACGATAAGTAATACGGATAAAAGCCAGGAGATGTAATTTTTTCGATCATTAAAAGTGAAACTTTGTGATGATCAAAAAACCGCAGGATGGTCGCGGAAACACTCAACGGCGACGTCGCAGACGGCCGGATGCGAACAAAATATTTTTGAGTTACCGCACGAGATTGGTATTGCATAATATTCGTGCCATTACACCGGCGATACGGTGCTCCGATTGGTGCAAAGAACAATTTCCAATCTCCTATATATGTTCAAGTTCTACCTGCACAGCCGACTACTTACCCACTTAACGTTTTCCGTTTATTCCGGTCAGTCGCTCCATCCTGCATAGCGTTATGACCATTCCATGTTTCGGATTTATGGAATTTGTTCTAAAATAATAGAAGAATAGATTTTTCATGCTACAATAATAGTACAAATTCTCGATAGCTTAAATTTATTTATTGTTTTATCTGATGTGAATTTCCGAGTGCTAGTGTTAACACGACGGCAACGTCATTATTGTGTTTATGGATAATAATTTATGCAATTCAAAACATTAATCACAAGGTAAGTATTTTCACAGTAATTTTTATCTCCGTTTGATCAAGCCGAGCTTCAACATCATTTGCTAGGAGATTCGTTTTATTATTCGGTCCCATTAAAAAATTTCGCCAGTATTTTTCCCTTATCTTGCTTAATCCTAAATTGTCTCTTAGTGCAAACAAAGTTCTTCAACTGGGTTAAATTTACTGACAGCTCTTGCAATTAGTTGCTACATCGCTTGACACATCATTTATCTCGATTATTTCATTTTATTTTATTTCTTCACTTTGTTCAAAATTATCAGAGTGTGTCATTAGAATATAATACCATATCCACAACATAATAAACATACTCGTGAAGTGTAGTTGTACATTAGTTTGTTGTACAATCGATTATTGCAGTTTTGATATGTCATCAATTATTATTTTATATACATGGAAAAATTGCATCGGTGCAACGAGTAACATTTAATTGATGGTGCATAATCGATCACATACATTGAATACCTTTGTTTAAATGTCAGCGCGCATTTTTTTTTTTAGGAGCGAAATCTCTTGCAATGCAATCTCCTTTCATAAACTAGATTTCCTTGGGACTTTCTACACCTATGTTACTCATGCATTCTTATCTCCGTGCGAATCTCATTAAATCATTCAACCAGGAAGCAATATGTTGCTACAATTGCTCGAGTATAGTTTAAACAATCGATATAGCATCGATTGATTCACATAATTTATTTTTCAATAAGCCTAGACGGAGTTATCGATTTAAGTATAACAGTTCGAGTTGAGCATACTAACGTAATAACTCACTGAAATTATAACGCAGCGTTGTCGCTCGTTTCGCAGTTTGCAGAAAATCGTGACAGAACCAATTGTGAAACGGGAAGCATTGATAATAAATGATTTTTATTAACAGACATAGGGATTAGAGCAAAAGCCGATAACGTTTCTGCACACAGAAAGCACTTAAGCTCAGACACAATGTCATGCTCTAAGTTTAGTAATGAAACACGGCACATTAAAAGTTTTTTAATCTTAGCAATCTTAATCCTAAAGATAAACAAATTTTTACATAGCGTCGTAATTTCGAAAGCTGAAAATCTGAAGCAGTGGTTACTTTTTTCATTTCCATAGCTAGAAACTATCAGGCACGTAGGATGAAATTCAGACTTAATTTTCTCGAACACGAGATTAGCTGCAAGAGAAATCGTAATCTACTATTCAAGAACGCATTACAAATCGCAGCGACTTTTCAGGTTTCGAGAGCCTTTTCGTGAAAGTGTGTGAAAGCACGCGCACTGCTTCTCAAAAATTAGTAACTGGAATATAAGAGGAAAAAGTAGCGTAGCGGTGTTAAAGCGACGATCAATAATGTCGAAGCGCTCGCGCGGGACCGTGGTCTTATCATTTACATCGTGACAATCGTTTCGCCGTTGATCGCGAGTGCAGTACGTCAACGTAATCCGAAATGTTTGATCGTCCATCGTGCGAATCGTTTATAGTCGTGGCAAACGCGTTCTAAACTTCCTCGATGATTCGCGTTTAAATTGGACAATTGTACAAGGTTCGTACGAAAGCGCGAGATATTAACAGATTGTGGATTTCTGAACAAATATGAATTTTCGCGAGTGAATTTTTCCAAAATCAAGCAGCTCGATATGCATTCTCCATTCGAGTCGATCGAGACAGAAATGGATCTTTTTTAAACATTTCTTTGTAAACGATCAAAAACTCTGCGAACGCGTAAAATCGGCAATCTGCTTGTTCTACTATAATCGAGTCTAAATCGGTATACACAAAACCAGTACGTGTTGTCTTAACGTGACAGAAATAAATTTATCCTTTAGCGCGATTTTAAACATGCCAGATAATGTCAACAAGCGGGGTACGTGAAACCGGTGAAATCGGTTCGTAATATGGTTCGTAAAATCGATAGCAAATGTAAATGATTACGTCGTTGAGTGATTCGATTGAACGAAGAAGAAAATCTCATCTGCGGGCATGTGCAGTCATGAATATTCCAGATTTGTCTAGTGGTGACCGAATTTCGCAATCGTCCATTACCCTCGCTGTTAACCTTTTTTGGACACTATCAAATTAGAAAGTCGCGAAGCATTGTAACGCTGTCCCCGCGAAATCACGGCTCATTGTTCTGGTCGAATTGTTCTGCCTTGAAACGGGAAGGAAGCACGAAAGTGGTGCTCGTTGGACGAAAAGTTTGTCACAGAAGTAAATACGTTCTAGGAACAGTTATCGTCCCTGTTTCGTCGGTAATGCGGCATTTATGGCATTTATGGCCGTATTACGACAAAAAATGTTAAAAGAAATGATTACGCTATGCATTATTGCATTACTATCGTCTTTATGGGCGCATTTAAATATCGTGGCACGAGCTGGCAAATCGCATGCAGGCACCACGTGTATACACAACTGTTGCTTTGCGTAACAGGTTGCCGTGGTACCTGTGCGGAGAATGTCGCGCCAGCACGTCGATAATCTGGCCATGGATGAAAGCGTACTCGAAAAATTGCTAGTGCATTCGGACGACGAGGTACCGGATAAATCGAGGAACCACTAAATTTCGTGAATACACTGACTTCTCGAAGCACGACAGGGCTCGAAACACAGCAACTGCGATACGCAGCTGGCTGCGATCGCCGAGACACTCCGCATTGCGGTGTCCTGAAGAGAACCAGAGAACTAGTTTTTATACGCCAAAATTGAAAGTAACAATCGCGATGAAGATTACGATGCTTCCGACGAGTTTCGTTTGGCAAAACGATTTTATCGTAAAACGTATTGGCAGTGCAGTTAGGAAAAACGTATAAATCGAGTGTAGGTGAATTTTGCGAGTTTGCGTCGCGAGGATTAAACTTTATCGAGGAATGCTAATTATAATTCGACGGCGGATTTTATCCTTTTATGTGAAAAACGAGCGGGTGAAGTGTGATTTTAATCTTTCAATTGGTTCGGCAAACTTTTATTTTCGATAAAGTTGAAACACGTTTGAGAACGCATCCGTCGATGAATCAGTGTCAACGATCCAATTGATCTGCAGATGAAGGAAGTTGCAGGAGCATTTTTCAAAACTGGGATTAAAATTAATACTTTTGCAATTGAAACAATATCTTAACACGATCGAATACATACTCAGATTATTGATAAAGCCGCGGAAGACGGACGATGTGATTAACAATGTAGTCTTATCAGCAAGACAGATGTTTCATTGTAAAGTGGAATTATACGATATATCGTATCGTATCTTTTATTATCGTATCTTTTCCGAATTTTTCCTTGCAGTTTTTCTGTTACAATATTGCGATTGTAATGAATATTTGATACTCGCTGGACATCTTCGATTCTTTCGTCTCATTTGCAAGATAGCAATACATATTCCCGTTATTGCCCGCAGCGTCTTCGGCTGTTCGAAGTACACGGCACTTTCTACTTTCGTGATTTTATTAGGTCATTGCGACTACTTGTCTGCACACAATAATCCTTTCTCTGATGTCGTTAGTTTCTCGTTCGATTTCGTCGTTTTGCAATAGGCGACAGAACGAATGTTCCTTCTGTTAATAATAAAACAACAAAGTCTCCGATTCCAGTTCGAAATTGGCCTGTTCTGTCGCGATTATTACGGCAGTTCCGATGAAGCTTGCCCGATTATAATAAACGTTACCCGAACGCTATAAATTGTGAAGAAAGTTCAGGCAAGGGTTAGGCGTGCATAAACAAAGGCGTATATCATGCGACTGGTTGTACTATTTCGCGAAGTATAATAGAGTTCACTGAGCTGCATTTGAAACCAGTCACCTTTCAGGACACGATGGAGAGAAAGAAGTCGAACACCGTTGATACCGCCAAGGACACAGAGTACGGCACGTGAGTTTTATATAACTACAATATTATTTTATGGTAACTCCCCCTGATCCTTTGTTTATTTCGAAGAGAGAAATTCCCTTCACATGGAACTTATTGCGTCGACAGAGTCGCTGGCGTAGCGTGACTGATCTATTGGATTGGCAACTAAGTAATTGCCGATTTGTTCAATGAAATAAAAAATATTTTTTCTTGGAACGAAGTTTAATCTGTAATGTATTTTCCATTTTGTTCGATGACCTTTTGCCATCTCTCTGACAACTTGAAAATTCCACGTTCGTAGAAAGTCTGATCCTTTTCGGCCAAAAACTGAGTTAAGTGAGATTTTACAGCGTCATCATCATTAAAAGTTTTACCACGAAGGGAGTTGTCCAGGGATCGAAATAAGTGGTAATCC